AAGATCAGAAAACAAGCTCCACTGTTTTATGCTATTGCATTTCTACCTAGAAAATATTCAAACTAGTATGACATGAGTTGATATATATATATACAGGTACAAAGATTAAGATTATGCTACTTTTTGTATTTTCTTATGCTACAATTTGTGTAGTGTCATGTGCAATAATAGCCACATGTATGATCTTGCTGATGGGTTCATTCTTAAAGGAACAGCGCAACAAAAATGATAATTATACCCTACTTTACAAAGCATCAAACCATAGATGTATACCTGTCTTCGTTTACACAAAAGAATTATATTTAGAGTTGTATTCAATAATATACTTGTCAGCTTTGTAATGGAAGTGAATGGTGAATGTCATACATTTACTCGGCCTTTAAAAATACTTCATTTTTGTGTTATTTATGTGTAAAAACTAAATTTTATTTTTTTAAATCAAACTTTCAATGCTTTATAAACTGAAAGTAAATAAATGCTGTCGTTATTTTAAACTTTCAGATGAAGGAATAAAGACTTTTCTTCACTCTTTTATGTATCGTTCATATACAGATACCTAAATGATAAGTCAATTATGAAATTAAAAGCTGAATTTTACAAATACTGTTTCCAGTTTTCTTCAAATGTCTATTATTATCATCACTCTTGATCAAAATTGTTGTTCTTTTTGCATTTTGATGCCTTTTTTTGCATTAAAACTATGGCAATACTACACAATGCAATTCTAAATCCATTTACTGCTGAAATGCATTTAGATTATGTTCATGTTCAGTGCCATTTCATGGGAAAAGCATTAAAGACTAGCAAGATCTAGCTAGATATTCAACTGCAATCGTAAACACGCAGTAAAACAACAAATATTGATTTGTAAACAACAATACTCACACACAAATATTAGTGTGTGACCCTTTGCATTTTTAGTAACTTAAATGTGGCTTTTTTGCCTTAAAGGGACAGTTACAGACAAACAAATAAATAAATAAATAAATAAATAAATAAATAAATAAATAAATAAATAATATATTATTTTAAAATTCTGAAAACGCCAACCATTGGCTTCTTTATTTTTTTAAATATCCTATGAGTCAGTTGTTATTGTTTTCCAACATTCTTTAAAATATCTTCTTTTTTCTTTAAGTTTAACAGTAAAAAGAAACTCGTTGAGGGTTTGAAACCACCTAAGGGTGACCAAATGCCAAGTAAATTTTTATTTTGGGGAACTATCCCTTTAAAACTGGCTTAAAATTAGTTTTGAACACTATTATGCTGCCGTCTAGTGGCGTCTTTAGTAAGTGCACCAATCAGTGAATACAAGCCTTCAGGCATTAATCAGATAATTGAGTGCAGATATACAAATAAAAAAAAATACGCAAACATAAATCCTACAAAAAATAATAATTAAATACATCAAATTCTTAAATTTGATTCAAAGACATAAGCAACTAGCAACTACTAGCAAGCACAAATACCAGTCATGCTATTTCAGTCAGTAATGTGATTTATAACTTTCCCAGTATTGGGTTGGGGCTGGATGGGCATCTGCTGTGTGAAATCTATGTAGGAATAGTTGGTGGTTCATCCGCTGTGGCAACCCGTTATAAGTAAGGTACTAAGCCGAAGGAAAATGAATGAATGAATGAATTAAAGTGATGTGTAACCCTGTCATAGAGGTGTTAAAATTAGAATAGTGTTTATGTTCTGATGTCCTGATCTCTGTTGTCTCTCACCCTCTCTCTCTTTCTGGATGTTAACTGAGTGCTAGACTGCTGACCTACATAGCCGGATGATGATTAGTCGCAGACGCTTCGGCTGTTAAATACCATGTCAATTTGGCCCAAACTCAAGTGCTGGAAAACCATGGTCTCAAAAGAATTATAGTGTTACAAAAATCCTAATAAAATGCAGTTATTCTTTGAAACTCCTAGTGATGTTCACGGATAACAATAATAAAGGGACTGAAGACAAAGACTGTTTGATCAGTAAACTCTTTAACAGCAGGTTCCACCTTGGTCTAACATTCACTACCTTTTAATCTGTCCTGCAAAGTGTCTGAAAAGACGGAGGTAAAGATATGAGACAGAACTGCTTTTAAAATCAAGCTAATGTTTAGCTGACACGATCAGTCGTTCTCCGTAATAAGAATATTCACAAGCTTGTTTTTGAAGATATTATTAGATACACAAAAGATCTGGCTGCACTCAAATCAATAGCGTGAAATGAAACTTGTCTGCTGTCTTCAAAATACATTTGAAGATTTTTGAAAAAAAAATCCTTAGCATTTAGCCCTGTATATGTCTAAAATTTCCATCATAATGGTCTTAAAAATGTTTTTAAAAGTCTTAAATTTAACTTTGTGAAACCTGCAGAAACCCTGCATAAGATAATAAAAAAAAATAAAGAAGCCAATGGTTGGCATTTTCAGATTTGTCAAAAAAATATTTTATTTATTTATTTATTTATCTATTTATTTATTTATTTATTTATTTATTTATTTATTTATTTATTTATTAAATTTATTTTTAAAATGTATTTATTTATTTATTTATTTATTAAATTAAATTTATTTTTAAAATGTATGTATGTATTTATTTATTTATTTATTTATTTATTTATTTATTTGTTTGTTTGTTTATTTGTTGTTGTTGTTTTTGTGACCAGTAAACAAAAGACTCATATCGTTTTGGAACAAGTATTATGATTATGATTAAATTATGATTTTTATGTGTGTGTGTGTGTGTGTGTGTGTGTGTGTGTGTGTGTGTGTATATATGTGTTTGTGTGTGTGTATAACTGAAATTCTCTTTACAGGAAAAAATAGTGTAGAAAAAAGAAAGTAAGAAAGACAACAAACTAATTAAAGCTTGTTATTAAAACATCTTTTGCATTATGTGTTTAGTATACTTTTCCCAGAACTGGGTTGCGGCCGGAAGGGCATCTACTCTGTAAAACATATGCTGGAATAGTTGGCGGTTCATTTTGCTGTGGTGATAAATAAGGGACTAAGCTAAAGGAAAATGAATGAATAAACTTAGTACCCACACTTGTTAACATCCATATATAATTAATTTGACCATTATTATTTTATGTATTAAATACTATTATTTTCTTAATACTGATACTCAACCGTGGGGTCACGGTGGCACAGTGGGTAGCACGATCTCCTCACGGCAAGAAGGTCACTGGATCAAGCCTCATCAGTCAGAAGGCATTTCAGTGTGGGGTTTGCATATTGTCCGTAGTGTAAGTGTGTGAAAGAGTTTGTATGGGTGTTTCCCAGTGTTGGGTTGCAGCAAGAAGGGCATCCGCTGCGTGAAACATATGCTGGATAAGTTGGCGGTTCATTATTACACACCCATAATAGAGATTTTTATCAAATAGTTTTTTTTTCTAGATTTAATATTAATAAATAATTGTATATCCTTTTTTTATTTGAAGTGCATGTGAAGAATGAAGAAGGATCAATATAAAGAAAGTATAGATATTTGATTGCAATATTAGTAACGTACTTACTAGCACAAAATGGGTGCTCTTTCTTTCTGAAGAGCTCAGATGGAATTACATTAAAGCCAAGGCCACAGACACACACACGCACGCGCAGCACACATGCAGCTTACTATCAGACTGATTAAACTGAGTCATGTGCCTCTGCCACACGAGCAGAGATTGAGATTAAGCATAATACAGTCAGCAGTAAACCCAGAGAGCAGAGAAAGCAGATGAGGAGAGCATCTGCAGTGTAAACCATCAACATCACACTGTAAAAAAGCTGCTGTAAAATTTACAGTATTACTGGCAGTTTTGGTGTGCACTGACGAATGTACTGATCTATAGGCTAATGAAAGCATTCGATTACTTCAGTAACTGTTTGTGCTCATTGAAGAGAAAATGAGTTGTGTTGAAAATAAAACATGCAGGTCAGACGTTTACATATTATAAGTGTATTTGTCCGTTTAAACATACACCGGAATTCTGCACTTTAGCTTCTCTTTAAATGACATGTACATAAGCTGATCTATGATCATATGGATCGCGTTCTTCAGTCAGTGCTTTTACATGCATTTGCTGATTCAGAGGTTGCATAGGAAGGGCGATGATTGACGCACAGCTTTTATGGGAAGAAATTGAATGCAGACACTTTTATATTAATTTAAACATTCATTTAAGATTAAAAATATGGGAGAAATATGGGAAAATACATTAATGATAGGATGATAGTGGGATAGAATGACAAAATACAGGAGAATCTCAGCAAAAACGGTATGGTTTACATCAGTGGTCGCCAAACTTGTTCCTGGAGGGCCAGTTCTCTGGCAGATTTTAACTCCAACCCTAATCAAACACACCTGAACAAGCTAATCAAGGTCTTTCTAGGTATACTTGAGACATCCAGGCAGGTGTGTTGAGGCAAGATGGAGCTAAACCCTGCAGGGACACCAACCCTCCAGGAGCAGGATTGGTGACCCCTGGTTTACATCAATGAAGTAAACAGGAAGTGTTTGTGAAACAAAAAAAAAAACTAAAAAATATAAATATTTTCCTTTCAATCAGATTGCTTCCATCCACCCTACTTTCCCAGCATCATGTGCCTTATTAAAGCCTTTGTCTCCGTATTAAAGCCTGATTTACAGTTAAAAATGATGATTTTGCAACTGAAAATTCTGAGATCTACAAAAATAGCCAAAATTGTGAGAAACCCAATAAACTCACATTTTGCATAATTTGAGAAAAGTAACTCTAAATTAATAACAAATACCTTTTTATTGACTATTTTTCACATCTCTATTCAGTTTAAATCTCACATTTCTGATTTTTCATTGACATATTTATTTTAATAAAAAAATTATTTATAACTTTAATCTTTTGTTTGAAACGTCCACCTACAAATGAACACTGTTGTCTGACTTGATTAGAAAACATGCACAAATTAAATCATGACACAATGTCCAGGAGGTGTGTGTGTGTGTGTGTGTGTGTTGTGTGGAGTGTGCAAGTGCTCATACCACGGGACTGAGCTGCATATCGTACACTGCGAACCACACAATGTCCCATTTGATCCTCCTCCAGTGGGATGAGGCAGGGGCCGCAGTTGGAGGAGCCAGGCTTGCAGAAGTGACGCCCCCTTCTGGCACACTCTATGTGATCAGGGCACTTTGCTGAAAAACAAAAGAAGAAAAGACAGGCTGAATGAATAAAAAGGGCTTAGACTGTTTTAGTATTTACAACTCTGAAGCACTGGATGTCATGTGTTTATGTATTCATTAATAGCCTTATCATTATGCATTAGTATAGCAGGTGTTAATGGCAGGTGAAGGAAGTGTTGTTCCCAATGTTATCATTAAAATTCATCCACAAAACTTCCTCTGAGGTCACTCCTGGGTTTAGTCACCTGACTTCTGCAGGTAGAGAATATTACAACATATGGTAGAGAAGAGACTTCTTACTGTTCTGTACCTTTTATGGTAAAATTGAAATAAAGGTACACAGTTGTTCTTAAAAAAGGTACATTAGTGTTGGACAACTCTATTTTCTTTATCACAATATCTATGAAAATAAATATGACTGGAAAGGCAAAGTGAATTTATAAATAATTTCCATATTAAAACATGAATCATCATTTAAAAGCATATGTTTAACTCATAAAGATTCATTATTAAGTTCTATAAAACAAAATAACTGGTAAAACAAAAACTATACGTAATGTAAACTAAACATTAAAGGCATTTTTAATTTACATTTGGCAAGAAAATTCTGATGAATACATTTTCATTATTGATATCCGCACTTTTTGGAGTTTACTTTCCACAACGCACGTGAGCTGGCAAAAGTCCTGCATATGTAAAGTCTTCATGCAGACTGTTTAGTATTGTGAAACTAAAAATTTGTTCCTGTAACATTTTTGTGAAAAGTGTGAAATATTTAGCAAAAATTTTATCTTTTGTTTTATGTTAAAGAGATTTTTATTCTTTATTGTAAATGAAGGTGCATTCCCACAAAAAACAAAATAATAATAATTGTTTTATAATTACTGTAAAGAAATTTGTGCATTTTGAATATAGCAAAATGCCTTTTAATAGTTCTTGAAGGAACACATTTGACACTGTTAATGTACAAAGTGGTACAATGGTACAAATCATGTCAATGTACAAATCATGTCAAGGTACAAATTTGTTTCTTTGTCTTAAGGTACAAATCTGTTCCATAAAAAGTTACTGCCCCAGTGACATGGATTTGTACCTTCTTTGGTAAAATTGTACCATTTTTTTCAGAGAGAACAAATAATTAAAAACATGTATAAAAAAAAAGTTGTTTTCATTGAAAAAGGAAATCAATGCAGTTCTTCTGTTCTTTTCTTTTAATCAAAAAATTACTAAAAGAGTGCATATAATCAAAATATTTTAGTTTCTGATTTCTAAAAAATCATGAGACACCGAAGAATGGAATAACAATGCTTAAAATCCAGCTTTGCCATTAAAAAGGAAACAAAATATTTATAAAAAAAAATACAGTATACTGTATATGCAAGGCAAGTTAATTAATATAGCACAGTTCATACACAATGCTAATTGAAAGTGCTTTACATAAACAAGAATAAAAATAACATAAAATACAAGTATAAGAAATAAAAACAACAGCGAATAAAATATATTAAAAACTATTTATTTAAAATAATTTTATTTAAATGTGTTAAAACAGGTTTAAAAGGAATGAAAAAAGACAAGAAAGAAAGACACAAATAGTGCGGTATATACTGTAAAATATTTTAGAATATTACCTTTTTTTGCTGCATTTCTGAACAATTTAATGAATAAATGCAGCAATGTTGAGCAAGAGAGACTTAAAACATTAAATTAAAATGTGACAAAACAGGAATGAAAAGAAGATGTGAAAAGATATATAAGATAACTGTAAAAATAATTCATAATATTAACATTTTTGCTACATTTCTGATCAAATAAACAAATAAATGCAGCCTAGCAAGCTAGAGAAGCTTAAGAAAATTAATTTTAAAGGAACAAAAATCTGAATCATGAAAATAAAAGTTTAGAATTACAAGACCAACTCAGAAGTCTTACTATTATCTAACAATTTCTTTGTGCACTTTTCCCAACACATACAAAATAAATACAAATGCAAGAATAAAGTAATTATTGCAAGAAAAATTACAATTGCATTAAGTATGCATCATATTTTTCACTTCTATTTCATCATCAAAAATCTTACCAACAAATCAAAATCATGTGAATGGCAGTGTTTATCTATTAACGTCAACTTACTACCATCAAGTGAAGCTCATAAACCCTGCCACTTTATAAACCATGCAAGGTCGAAATGTTTTTTAGATTTGACGCAAAAGCATCCAATTGACAGAGCTTAACTTCTAAAAAACCTGAATACTCCTTTCAGACTCCAAAAACATTCAATATAAAGAGTAATTCAAGTACTCAGTGACATCAATGCTATTGAATTCCACATGTCTCGTATCCTTGACTGACTCTCAATCACTCAAGAAACTCAAAAACAGTCATCAACACAAACACGCTCCAATGACTCAAATCAGCCCACAATCGCAATCATAATCTCTTCAATGATAGTTTCTCCTGTTCTCTATATATCCTTCAAATTTCAGTCTAATGCTCTCTGCGGGGAGCTTGGCTTTCGACTAGAGAAGGAAACTGGGTCAGCGGCAGGTGTGTGTGTGTGTGTCTGAATTCATGTGGATCAGTGTTATTTTAGTATTAGTTGCTACACGTCCATCTAAAGTACACTGTAAAAACGGTTTGTTAATTAGCAGTGTCTGTAAATTTGTGATTCACAATGATTGTTTTCCGTTTAATTACGGGTGTGAATTGCATAATGGGACGTTCATCTCAGCTCTGCCGGATTCTAATGTGGAAAATTTAACTCTGAAACTTTTATTGACATTTTAGAAGTTTTAAAAATATAATGTATGAGAAATAAGTCTGTCAAATAACAGAAAATGTGCTTTTTATATCATAATATAGGTTTTTATATCATAATATACATCACCAACTCAGACAATATATCACTTTAAATGATTAAAAATGTTAATAAAAGTCACTTTTTTGAACTTTTCAAGGTAAAAAATTTTGGAAGAAAGATCAAGGTCCTGTAATGCAATTCAAAAACATAAATAAATGGCAGGGAAAAAATCTAAAATAAAACATGAATCACAAAATACAAAAAACGTCTCATTTATGTATATACGTTTGCAGCGTATAGTGATTTAAAGTTATTAAAAACTACTGACTACACAAGAAATTGGCAACAATACAAAAGACAGCTGAAAAGTCGAGCATTGACAAAGAAAACACAGCACATTTTTCCGGAGAATCGATGGTAGATGCTAGCCAAGCAAAGGCTTACAAAGGCTACAAATACAAACATTATACATAATAGCTCCTTTAACCGAAAATTTCACTGTTAACAATTTTCTGTTGAATCTACAGTAACTAACTGGCAGAAGTTCGCCAGTAGCTTACTGTAAATTTGCAAAAATACTGTATTTGCATTTACAGCATCATTTATATTGCTTTATGTGTATTTACAGTATTGAATATTACTGTAAAGTATTCTGTAATAAAATAAACTGAATGCAACTTTAAAATGCAGCAAAATACTGTATAACTGCCCTACAGTAAAATACAGTTTATATAACAGTTAAATACTGTGTAATTTACAAAAATCGTTAACAATGTTGAACATTCTTTCATCTTTCGTTGCTTGCTAATGTTTCTGCCAGAGTGGCTGAAACGGAAGTTGTGAAAATTCCTGAAACCTGCATTGAGTAGCTGGAGAAACGATGCGCACACACAGAGAAAGCTTCAAGAAAAGACATGTGACTTATATATAATGTCTTAACAGCAAAACATCTGCATATTTGGAATAAAAGCTGTTGGTAAAAATAAAATTTCTTTATTGGCATTGATGGTGAAGATCATTTAAAATCCAAAGAAACTTCACATTCCACAAAAGCTGCTCTGCAGTGCAAATAACTTCATAAGATTGTTAAAACTGTCTCAATACTAAGAAAAAAAAAAATTCTTTCAAGAATGTTCCACTGCAAGGTTCCTTAAAAAATGGTTCTTAAGAAAACACATTCAGGAACTTGCTTTTTCTTGCTTCCTAATGCCTCATGCAGCAAGTTATTTCAACTATTAGATTAAACCGTATCAAATTTATCAACATGAATTTAACTGTGATCTCAATGTTGCGTTATTTTCCACCCAGTCCTAGTTTTATTTATTTATGTATTTTTTTGTTTCAGCTAATGAAAATAACTCTACACTGTAAAACCCAACAGTCAACTTTATCAAATGAAAAGAGTGTTTTAACTGAAAACATACTGAAAGTTAATTCTACTCATTCTACTCAATTCTACTCTTTTTTGAAAAGAGTTTTGAACTCAGTGTTGAAGATAATGAGTTAATGAAATAAATCATTACTTCAACTTAATTGGATTAAGTTCACAGTACTTGTATAGATTAGTTTTTTTAAATTCAAATGGTTTGTAGCATTAGGTTTCCCTAAATGGTTTGAGTTACCTTAACTTCTTGAGTTTTTAATGTAGATAAAGGCATCTTGGGAAACACAGAACCACAATTATAAAGTCTCAGGCAATTTTTATTTTTTATTTTATTTTTTTAACAGATTGTGAACATCTCTTTTTTATTATTATTACTAATATACAGTATATTTGGTCCAATGCCCATCTAGTTTAATGTCATTTTATTTAGAAGCTGTCCTCCAAAGTCACTTACAAATGGTGGCATGTCACATCACCGAATAACAACAAAACATAGATTCTGAGAAGTTTTTTTTTAAACTAAGAGCAAACAAAGAACAAATAATTTAATTTAGAAGAGAATATGAATTGCTAGTTTTGGAGGATAAAGTAATTGTGTTTGTCCACGACACTGTTAACGTTTTATCTAAATTACACAGTATTTTAACAGTATTTAACTGTAATATAAACTGTATTTTACTGTAAAACAGTTATACAATGTTACTGTATTTTAAAGTTTCGTTGTGAAAATGACTGTCTATTTTACAGTAAAGATATACAATACTGTAAATACATGTGTAACCAATTGGTCCTACTGCACCCAATCTGGTAAGGTAGTTTGTTGGATCG